TTTATATAATTTCAATATACAGACCGCCTAAAATAAATAAACAAGATAAAACTTTGCAATTTCTAGAAGAATGTCGTAACCTATTAGAAAGTATACCCAATAACACGAAAGTAATTTTTTGTGGCGACATAAATTTAAACTTATTAAAAAATCGAGATAAACATGTCATAATGTATGAAGAACTTTTAGCTGAGTTTGGTTTTATCAAATGTATCGATCGAGTTACCCGTAGTGAAATCCTATTGGAAAACCTAGTAGAATCATGTCTGGATCATATATTCATTCGTGCACCATCGGCAAAAATAGATTCAGCTGTGATACACCATAAAATATCCGATCATTACCCGGTATCGGTTGCGGTGGAGTGGGAACGCGCCCCGTTGCATAGCAGTATGGACGCATCTGAGCACGAGTCGTCGCTGGGTTCGCGTTCCGAGGCTACCTCCCGCCCCCGCCCCCACCCTGCACAGCCTACCGCTAATAGCTCACGACTAATACGTGTCCTGGACAATCGTGCAGTACGAGAGAAACTATTATCGACTAATTTTGATGATCTACTATCAATTACATGCCCATTGAAGCTTTATGAAGCTTTTAGATTAATATTTTTAGATATTTATCAATGTTGTTATAGTACTAAAATAGTTTATAGTAGTAATAGAAATAATAAAGGCTGGGTTACGGAACATCACAAAAAAATGCTTTTAGAAAGGGATAGACTATTTGTAATATGGAGTAATGAACCAAAAAATATGATAAAACGATTAAGTTACACTAAATATAGAAATAAATGTAATAAAGTTATATCTAAGAGTAGAAATGAGTATGATAGGCAGAGTATATTAGATTGTAATAAGAATATAAAGAAGTTATGGGATAGAATACATGCATTAATGGGTGACAAAAGACAATCGTTAGATAGTTTAATAATAGATAATATGAAAAATCAAGGCAGTTTGACGGATATATGTAATAAGTTTGCGAATACTTTCACGGAAGAAATAGATAATATTAAACATGTTTGTAATGATAAATGGATGGATAGGGGAAACTATGTACAATACAAAGACGTATGCATGAGGTGGCAACCGGTGAATAGTAGGTATGTTAAACGAGTCATAATGAGAATGAACACAAACAAAGCACCGGGGAACGATCTCATGCGCATGTCTGATCTTAAGTTTGCTGTCGACAAGGTGTGTCCTGTGATCTCTAACTTGGTTAATCTATGCGTTCGTAACCATATATTCCCAACAATGTTAAAAGAGGCCATTGTACGCCCTATTCACAAAAAAGGAGACCCGAAGTCCTTTGCTAATTATAGACCAATAGCAATATTATCGAGCGTAGATAAAATCATAGAAAAATGCATAGTGAATCAAATAGGGGATTATCTTCAAAAGAATAATATATTAAATAAGTGTCAACATGGATTTCAGAAAGGAAAAAGTACGAACACTCTTTTGTCAAACTTTACTAACGAAATTAATAATCACTTAAATGAGAAAAAATTTGTTGTGGCAGTGTTCTTTGATTTTAAAAAGGCATTCGATACCTTAGAAACGGATACCCTTATAAATGCAATGGAGGAGTGTGGGGTGGGGGAGCCGCTGAACAAATGGTTCCGCGACTACCTGACCGCACGGTCCTACCGCGTGAAGGTGGGTGAGACGACCAGCGACGCGAGAGAGGTGAGGTGCGGGGTGCCGCAGGGCTCGGGGTGCGGGCCTGTGTGCTACCTGATGCACGTGAATAGCTTGTGCGGAGTACTGCGCCACTGCTCTGCGTACATGTATGCGGATGACCTGTGCGCAGTGCTCGCCGGCACTGATCTTGCCGAGACATGTCGTCTGGTTCAGCTCGATATAGAAGCAGTTATTAAATGGTCCCATGACAATGGTATAATCTTGAACGCTGCCAAAACTAATTTTTTGTTAATTCATTCCCCGTACCTTCGACCCCCTGATACTTTGCCTCAGATAGTTTCACATAGTTTCTCATGTATACATAGTAAAATGTCTAGTTGTAATTGTAAACCCATAGATAGAACCAAAATAGTCACTTACCTTGGGATGAAAATTGATGAAAACTTTTCCTGGTCCTCTCATATAGAACACATATGTAATAAATTGAGAGTACTATTAGGAAAATTTTATCACCTAAGTCTTAGAGTACCTCCTAGTACCCTTAAATGTTTATATACATCACTAGTTGACTCAATAATAAGCTATGCCCTTGACTGCTATGGTCTTACATTTAAAAGTTATATACAACAATTAGAAGCACTACAAATAAGATTTTTAAAATTAATTGTATCTAAAAACACCAAAAAGGGCTGTAAAGGTGATTATAACAAGCTGTTTAAAATTTGTAATATACTTCCTGTTAGCCTTAAACATAAATATTTACTTCTAGTAAACAACCATGGCAGTCTGGAGCGCTCTTTGTTGGTGACACATGCGCAAGGTACCAGGTCAGTATCAGCGGGAAAATATATTGTTCCAAGGGTACATAATTATTATGGCGATCGAACGCTGGATAAACGTCTACCGTATCTCATGAACAGTTTGCCCGCTGATATTAGACATGAACCAAGTAAAAGTAAATTCGCCAAATTGTTAAAAAAATATTATATGGACAGCTTAACATAATTTAACATACCTACTCAAAATATCATGATGTAATATATATAAATTTAATATATATAAATGTAAAATATATATAAATATCCTTAAATATTATAATGTAAGATTAATAACTGTGAGACTCTGATCCCACAGACAAACTGTGCAAACAGTTTTGTGGGTCCATTGCAAAATTAAAAGTATATCATATAGTGTAATAATAAAAAAAAAATAAAATAAAAATAAAGTTTTTTTTTAATTTGATTCCTAACTTACCTAATCAAATAAAATTTATATTATTAGCAATATTATTATTCTAACACCAAGATGTCAACGCTAGCGCTAACTCTAATAAATCAATATGGCACATCAGTGTCCCTTTACCTACGTATGACTTACAATCCCCATAAAGTACCATTTTCTAACTTTTAAAATTACATTTCTTTCAAATAAATTTATATCCTAATAGCGGACTAGATAGACGTTGTCCTGCCCGCTATCGGGTCCGCTAGTAATAAAAATAAAAAATCGTAGAACCCGACTGCAGCGCCACCTCCCGGGCCAATTGTAAATCTAAGCCATCCAGGAAACCTATAAAAAATCATCAAAATCGGTCCAGCCGTTTAGGAGGAGTTCAGTGACATATACGCGCACAGAAGGATTATATACATAAAGATTAGCGACTTACCTCCCGAAGTACCTAACAGATTTGATTTTTCAGATTTCAGATTCTATTGTGACTCTAGGTGATAATTTTTCTCCCTGATGTGTCACCTTGTCATTCTTAGGCTCATCTATACTAACATATATTACAAAGAAGATTTTTTGTTTGTTCGTACCGAATAAGCTTCGAAACTACTGAACCGATTTAGATGAAACTTGATATGAAAATTGTTTGAGATCCTGAGAAGGAGATAAAATAGTTTTTATTCCGGAATCATCCCTTAAAGGGGTGAAAATGAGGATGAACGTTTATGTGAGGAAGTAACGCTAGTTAATAATAAAAAATATATAATATAATAAAAAAAGGTTATATACAGGTAGCTATCTGTGATCTAGATTTCATTAGTGCTCACTTAGTCTTAATAATAAACGAAAAATAACCTTTGTGGCATTGCCAACCTCTCAACATTTTTATCTATAGATATAACATATAATAAAATTCTGAGCTGAATCTGTACATTAAATACTTTCTGAAAATCTTATTGAAATAGTCATTATTATCGATACAGAGGCTGATTCTATGGTTTTTAGAATTTTTGTCTGAATGTCTGGGTGTGTGTGTGCGGGAAAATATCTCATGTCTGAAAAACGTATACTAAACGTAAAAAGATAGTGCGCCGCTTTTTTTTTTAATTTAAAAAAAAAATGCGAGTAACTAACGCGAAAAGGCCCAAAAGTACAACTGGTATAACAATAAAAAATTAAGCTTATATTTACTTTAACACCATTACTTTGCCAAAATGAAAGCTAAGATTTATTTACAAACCAATCTGTTACAAAACCAAAACTGAGCTTGAAAGGCAATTAATATTCAAGAATATCACTTTCAAAATTATAGTTTATTAGAACAAACTAACTAGATGTACCTAATTAAATTAATAATATTTGACTGGAATAATAAATTCAAGTCGAAGATTTATTCAAAACTATCTACAGCCTGCGGCTTTATCCGTTTGTTTACTTGATTTTGTTTCGTTTCTTTTGTTAATATGGCTGCTATATAAAATATAACTATCTATATACGTACATCCTATATCATTATAGTGCACAAGTTTGTACGCATTCATAAAGGGCCTCCTTACTTCTATCACCCTTACAATCCAGTGTTATGGCACTCCAACATAACCGGTGAGAAATCAGACACAGTTGTCACCTCTTGTATTTAAGGTAACAGAAAACAACATTTAACAAACACCTGCTTTTGTATGCTTTGTATGCTTATGTATATTAAAGAGAGCACGTAAAGCCATCGGCCTTGCGCCAAATCTCTCACCGTTCGTGTATAATTAAAGTAATCGCCTTACCGGAGTATAAGAGTGAAAGTAATAGAGTAAGCAGTTGTGTTTGTTCATCTACTGTATAGGCCACCATGGCCGGTCTTTGTTAGTTCTAGCTCTTCATTAGTTACTAGCGACTCACCCTCGCTCCGCTCGGGTTCGCCCTGAGTTACGTTTTAACGTTTAAAAGTAGTAAAAAGTATCCTGTATGTTGTATCCTGTATGTAAAAGTATCCTGTATGTTGACCTGAATAACCAGCTATCATTATACCAAATTTCATCAAAATCATAATTAATAATGACTATTACTTGCCCTTATTTTCTGCCAAATTTTAGATAAATCTTTAAATATAGAACTTATATTGTTAGGACTTACTTTGCTCCATCTGGGAAGGACATAACACCAAGTCCAGAACAAAGACCACTGGTCAAAGAACCATCATATCTTGTACCATCTGCTAACACGAGGTGGCCCGTGCCATGCTTCTGTCCTTTCGAATTCCATTCCCCCACATACCGCGTACCATCTTCATATTTATACGCACCAGTTTTAGCTATGCCTGCGTCGACTGCTAAAAGTATAAGGTTGAATACATTATTTGTATAATATAAGTGAAGATTCTTATCATTTACTAGGCTTTGCCTGCTGCTTTACCCGCGTAAATGAATAGCTCGAAAACATTTGCGTAGGTACAAATGTACATGGCGATTACGACATAGTTAACGCCATCTAGTGGCTAGTTAAAGTATAAAAACTTTAAAAAAATAAATAAAACGGACTTCCAGGCACTCAAATGTAAAAAATAACTAAACATGGGTTTTCAATTTGAATAGATACCTAATCAGATATTTTCGATGTCGATGCCAGCTGAAAAAACTGCTCGACCGATTTCGAAAAAATGTATATGGGACCACCTTTTTTTTTACTGTCGGGAAATGCATTTACGCATACCCCCTGATCCCCCAGGTGGTGATGTAGGGCTCACCGGCTAGAAGACCGGGTTTTTGGAAGTCCGTTAAAAATGTATAACACAAAAACATTTACAAGTAAAAACACTAAAGTAAACATAAACAATTCAGTTAACCTCTTTATTATTTTATTTAATTTCTTAATATATATGTATATATTACAGTTTAATTTCTTATTCAAACTGGCAAGTTATTGTTACCTTTTACTTAATGTATTATTCAAGTTTTAAATATATTCATAATATACATGTAAGGTAGAAATCTTAATTATTATGTTATTTAAAAGCTAGTTATACGACATAAATCATATAGAGTATGTCGGTAAATAAAAGCTGATACCGACATAGTGTGTTAATGTTATCATAAGCAAATCTATACATATAATAAAATTATAACTAAGCCTAATCTGTACATTAGATTTTTTGGAAAATCTTATTGAAATATACATTATTATCGATACAGAGTCGGAATCTATAGTTTTTAGAATATTTGTCTGTCTGTCTGACTGTTACCGCATCACGAGAAAACCACTGGACAGATTTTGATGAATTTTGGTATGCTGGTAGCTGGTCATCCGGGATAGGATACTTTTTACCGCGGGAAAATATCTCATTTCTGAGAAAAAATACAAAAACTACAATATAAGAGTATACTAATATGTAAAACCTAAGAATTTGGTTTTTGGTCATCTGAGCGCGGGCGGAGCCGCGGGCAATGCTAGTATTATATAAAATGTTTTTTATTATAATTATGTAAATAGAAGTATATATAACATCAGGATCCATACACATCTGCACCTACTCACTTGACATTCTAACTAATCCTAAATACTACATAACTACGTATAAAAATATTTAAAACTTGCGAAAAACAAAAACTAACGTATCCCACGGGAACCGTACATTTTCCGGGATAAAGTCTATGTGTTATTCCAGACTATAATCTATCTCTGTGCCAAATTTTATTCAGATGAGTGCAGCCGTTCTGGCGTGAAAGAGTAACAAACATCCATACTCACAAACTTTCACATTTATAATTTTAAATAATACGCATTGCAATATTTGTTAAAAGAACCGTAATATATAAATTAAAACTGCCTACAATGAATAATTTAAAATTTTAGTAAATTTTAAAAGAGTAATTAATAAATATGTAGTTAAACTGAAGTTATAAAGACTACATAATTAAATTTGTTGAGCTCTACAGTTTACATATAGAAAAAGAAGTCTAAATACCATAAATAATAATAATATCATAGAGAAAAAAAATCGAAATACCATCAAAATAGTTATAATCAAAATGAATTAATATAAAATAATACAAATTTGATATTTTTTTGATAATAATATAATTTGAAAATACACGTAACTGACTGTATGTTATTTTAAATTACGCTTAAAATAGTATAAATCATATCAAATAGATAAAAAAACATCGCTTACCGTCTGCCATGTTGACTCTGAACAAAGTACAGGGTGATACTAAAAAGGTTTCTTCAACTAATCTAATTACTTTAATACGTTGGTATTTTTACTTAATCACTTTATCTAAAACTATACTACTATCGTTACAAATAACATTTGGTTCAGGTGGGAATAACAAGTATTTTGACCAACATCAAAAAGGAGGAGTAACTAAAAAAAGTCCGCGAAAAAATCAAAAAGAGAGTTTTATTTAAACGCGACTTATCGTAGAAATATTTGTACATACATACATATATTTTATTAGTTTTATCCTTGCTGGGAGTATTGCTATATGTACGTCTTCTACTACATACTACTGTGTTTCGTTGCCAAGTTGTTTTCAACATTTTAATTAGTATTTCTTTTGCGCAGTCGAATTTTGTGTATACTTAGATGTCGATATTAAGAATCCTGTTCCATATAAGTGAATAAATAAAATTTTGAATTGCTCAATATCAATATAAAATAAAAATTCGGCTGTGTTGCCGGGCACTACTGACCCCCCCCCATCCCCCCCTTCCCACCACGACAAAGTGAACACACGTTGGGGGGATGAGTCTATGGCTTAAGCTACACTTACAATAAGTGTTTATTTTTAAAACGTACCTAGGGACGTTGTAGTAAGTCGCTAGTAAATAATAAAGCATGTAAATAATAAAGCATGTAAATGGTTCCTAATAATCTATTAAAAACAGAGGATTAAGTATACACGCCCTTTTAAATAAAGTTTTTGCACCCCAGCAATTTCATCTTAAAATAGCATGCTATAATATCACGTATCTACGTAAATATCTCATATAAACCAAATAACTATTAAAATATATTTCTGAATATTATAAATCATATCTAATATCTTATATTTTGTTTAAGTATAAAGAATTTTCATCTAGTTATGTTAAAATAATAGTAAATCCTCCAAGACGATATAATATTACATCATACATATGAATCAAATGCTATATTTTACGTATAAACAACTTACTATTTATATTTGTATTGGTACAAATTTTTTTACATTTGTTATTGAATTTGATGAATAAATATTAAAAAAAAGGAAATAATAAAATTAAAAAACTCAGCTCTCAAAATACTTGCGAACACTTTTTATTCAATTACCCATTTATCCATCCATCCGTCCGTTCGTCCGTCCATCAGCCAACAGAACATACACTTAAATCGTGCAAAAACGACATGTCTAAATTTTACAATTGGTAAAGGTTTATTCTTCTTAAAGGCTACCACGACAGGCGAAAACATAAAGAGAGGTAAGCTAGATTATATACATATATAACTTTATTAAATACATACATAATTTATATATAAACACACATAACTGGAGTACAATCATTCGTGCTCAACACACAAATGAATGCCCGCAGCGGGACTCGAATCGACTATCTTAGAATAATGTCTTGGTTGATATACAATAACTATTAGTCAAACGTTTAATATCTCATTTGGTTCGTTTAGACGTATCCCATACATAACACTCAACAAAAGCATTTGATTTATGCCCGATTTCACCAACGTCACCTAAGTTTAAGGGATCCCCTAAGCATGGCTAGGGGGCTGTTAGGGGACAGTTTCTGTTTCACTGACATTTAGGGGTCACCTAAATATTAAAAGGCCCCCTAAATTTAAGTGCTCGAAATATGGGCTTAAAGACGATCGTAAAACAAAATTTTATTTAGGGGCTAGTTTAGGGGACTTTTAAGCTAGGGATCCCATACGTAGGTGGTAGCTTATGGATTGTTGGTGAAATCGGGCATTAGTCCTTTTAACATTAAATTTTTGATTATTTTGCATGACAATGAATTTAAAAAAAACTTCGACACCGTTGACTTTCACAATTTAACTTATTGATATCAACACTGTACTTTTGTATAGTCCAAACCAAACAAGCAATACGACCTATAAAAGGTTGTAAATCAAACAACAATAGTAACAATGACGCACGCGGCGCAGTCACCTCAATTAATGTTGGAGTAATGAGTTAATGGTCTTCTACGGCATATCCTTATTAGAGACATTTGACTATACCCTAACGCTACACCATAAGTTAGAGAAATGTATGCTATGAACTGAATAAAATTCACATATTAATACTTTCTTAGATTTACGCGAATTTTTGATATTTTAAATAAAACTATGTTTTTGGATTATTTCGCGGATTTATTTTGATTTTTGGTTCCCGACGTTTCGAATGCTTTACAGCAATCATGGTCACGGGAGAGAGTAAGGTTTTAGATGTCTCAAAGGCGTTATATACTTGTTACAGATATAGTAGTTGTGTCTACCGACAATTTTACAAAATGATTTCAAAAATTGCATCAAAGTACCTTAAAATATTTGTTGATTTAAATTCTAAACATTTTATATTTTTTAAGTAATATATTTAATTTTTGCTCTTATTATTATGAGTATTACTATTTAAAATGAATAATATTTAATAAAAATGCTATATAAAAATAGATAAAGACAAAAGAGTTCAGTCCCTTATAATTCTCCTCTGTTTGTCAACCGATTTTCTTTTCTTTTTGTTTTGTAGCGTATTTATATATTGATGTGCTTTAATGTTATGAAAAAAAATATGTGAAAGCAGTTAGTTTTTTATGTAGGTAGGTAAATTCTATTTATATTAGAGAATGTTTTCTTCAAATTTTCAATCATGTTGTAGTCGTGTTCGATTACTTGGCGAATTTCTTTTTAGGTGAAGTTAAAAAAATGAGTTTTTAACCGATTCATATATTTTTTGAACTTATTTAATAAACTCTGAAACTGGCATACCGATTTTTTTTAATTAACAGCTTATATTCAAAGGTCCCATAAAATTTTAAAAAGAGAGTAAACTCCTATGGGTTTTCTCCTTAAACCATCTAATTTTCGATATGCAATTTAAATTTGAATATAGTTTTCAAACCGGCTTAAAAAATAAAACGCCTTTAGATATTTTTAAAGGAATATGAAGAATTTCTGCAATGCAGTTGTATATTGTATAGATATAACAAAGACGAGCAATACTAATCGATAAAGGTGAACGTCGTGCTTCACTCTTTAATAAGTCGCGATTCCTTTTGAGCTGTAATATAAAATTGAATTTGTTGAAGTCATGCTTTACTGATCTATACTAATGTTATAAAGAAGTTTGTGAGTTTGTGAGATTGTGAGTTTGTTGTACGTTGTAGGGGTAATTTCTGGATCTATTGAACCGATTTAGATGAAATTTGGTAAGAAGATAGTTTGAGACCCTGGGAAGGACATAGGATAGTTTGTATTTACGCTTCTAAAACTTAGTTTTGATACAACCTAAACAGGAAGAATAATAAAATGGCTGACATATATGTACTTGTCATTCTACATTTTTTGTAGCAAAACCTAGACCTTTATTTTTCTATTTGAGAGTCCATCAAAATGAATCGAAGAGAGTAAAACTGAATAATATTCAAACTTTTTTCCTGTAAGTGGATATTGAATCTGTGCCCGATATGGTTAATAATACCAAAGATATTTAACCGCGCACTAAATTTGTACATTAATTATTGTGAAATAAGGATTGCTTTTAAATTCATTCATTAATTCCACATATATCGGCTATAACACCATCTTACCTCTATTAACTCTATAAGTCCTAGAAGAATAACACAATACAGAAGAAATGTAATTTTGAAAAGAGCCCCTTTCAGTTTACTCTGAAATTTGAAGCAAATTGTCTTGCCATTCGAGTGAAAAGCGAGCGTGGTCTCATAATCTGAGCGTGAAGCCAGCCAAAGATCTCAAATTTCTATTGTGATCAAAGCCATACTAAACAACACGAGATGCCAGTTGCCAATAATCTTCTTCTGCCAAGCTATTACTAAAGAACGCACAATTAATTGACGACCCAATTCGCAAAGTCTGACCATGAGGAAAGTGTCGCTTTTTCCGTGTCTATACAAACGTTTAAGTATAAAGAGCTTTGGAAAATCTTACAACCCATCAGAGCTCCTAGAGTATAGTTGGTTTTTTATGAAATTCTACCTGCTTTAGACATAAATAAAATTCCCAGAAGGAAAAATAATTTTAAAAGGACTTCTCTTTTTTCTCTCTCCTTATCTCACACTGCTTATTCTAATTTATTTTTTTATTTACATAGTAATTTTTTTATGTGTTTACATGAATACCTACTTGTAATTATAGCTTAGAGTTTAATATCGATTAGGCCATATAAAATACCTCAAAATAACACACAATTAATGAAGTTTTCTACAATTTTAATAAAGAAAAATCAAAAGTTGAAATGTATGTATGTATATATGAATGCTAATGAAGAAATAAGCAGAGAAAAAAAGGAACGTATATTTTAAGATGTAAATCGTGTTTACAATGAGAATAAACTACGACAATGAATAAAAACGTTTGTACAAATCCTTATAAAACTTTATGAAGAAGAACTTTCCGTAAATATTTTTAGAATAGCAAAATATCTTTGCATAGGAATGTAAATAAATTACCCATGCTGAAACATTTTCTTTGTAAATTTTAACTTCATGAAAATTTAATTTAATTTATGTACTCATTCCCAACAACAACGACAGTAAAACCAGTAAGAGTCGCTAGTAATTCATACTATGCTGTATTACTATTTTATGCTGAAGCAACTTACTCATCTAAAAAATCTTTTTCTTTTTATATCAAAATTACGTTTACGGTTCGTTTTAATGGTTAGTATGGAACAGATAGGCCATATATTATGTGATTTATAGCCTATATATAGCCTTCCTCAATAAATGAGCTATCTAATGCAAAAAGATTTTTTTTTAAATTGGATCAGTATTTCCTGAGATTAGCGCGTTCAAACAAACAAACAAACAAACAAATAAACAAACAAACAAACAAACAAACAAACAAACAAACAAACAAACATAGGATTAATTGTATAAAACTTTCTATAATCACCTATTAGTCCTAGTCAAAGCATATTAATAGATACATGGCTACCATAAACAAATC